TAATACTGAATCCGTCTGGTCTGGAAACCTAAGCAAACACAGGCAGGGACTAGAGGCGACGAAAAGTGGGAGAAGGCGCTAGGGGAAACTACTCGTGTGTACACTGCTTTAGCTCAATTCTTGCCCGTTTTTTTTTTAAAGGGGAAAAGTTACGACGTAGGCGTCTAAGGGTGGGGGGAGGTGGGAGTTATTTTAAGATGCTTTAAGAAGGTGCGGGTTCTAGCGATGAGAGAGGCCACAAATAACGTAAGAAAAGATACCACGGACGAGGATGCGGTTGTGTCGTCGTCTGCATAATTTAGCCCTCCACCGGTAGCTCGGTTGGGTTTTTATTTCTAAACTGTGAACTGGATTTTTTTTGTTGTAGTGGTGGATTGTTCACGAGGTGGATTGTTCACGAGGTGGATTGTTTACGTGGTGGATTGTTCATGTGGCATTGAACGACCAGTTCGCCTTCATTCTCCACATGTCAACACCGATTACATCCACAATTTCGCGAGTACATACACGCAGAGTTTAACGATATGGTGCCGCGGAAATGTTTCTGTATCGGGTTACTGCGCTGTGCTAAAGCAAGGAGTCGAGGGTGGTGATAGGTAAAGTTGAGGGGGGGGGGAATCTAACCTGCCACTTCCTATTCAGATGTCAGCTCCGGTTGTGTCTTAATGACGTGTTGCCACTGTCAGTTGCAGCGGCACCCGAGCCGGGCTCTGCCACTTAAACCCCCGCGCACCTTTTCATACCCTACATGCTGGCTGTCACCCCTACTGCCAGAACACCCCCGGCGCCGCCCCCACCCCCGCCGGTTACACGACCGGGGAGCATTAAAGTATCTTATAGCTCAACAGTAAATCCTTCACGCGTCGGGAAAAAGGAAAAAAAAAACCTGTTAATGAAATAAACCCTCGCTCCCTCCCCGTCCACATCACTTCCCCCCACCCCCTCTAGGCTAATGTACCTCCCCCCATCCCCCTCTAGGATTAGGCAGTTCCTCTAGTTTTTGACACCGGAGACAATAGGATCAAATGGATGGATAGGCACCAGAAAATTCTAAAATACAACGTAACTTGCGTGATTAGAGAAGACAGCACCTAAAGTATCCAGTATCCTATACATGGGTCTTAGTGCTCGTTTATAGACCAGTCGGCTCTAATCGATTAGCCGTACCCTCGATAGTGGTATTTCATTGGTGGGGGTGGGAGGGGGGGATAAGTTTAGGGCGGCTGTTAGGTATTAGTTTTACGGTTTAAGTATCGTTATCAGCGATACTTGCTGTAAGAGTGTGATTACTTAATCGATATCAATGTGCTCTCTGTAAGCTAACAAAAGTAATTAAATACGTAAAATAAATCCGCTTTGCTTATGTAATTACACCATGTGCCAGATTTCGCTGAGAACGCGAGTTAACTGGAACTGGATTTGGCCAGAACTGCGGAGTGCCGAGGTATGCCAGCCTGCTTGTTAGTCCCCTTTCTAGCGCCCCGTACAGCGCGGGGTCGGCGCCTGGTCCGTGTTGACACAAGATTGTCTGGGGTCCTATCTCACTCTGGCGGAAATACTGGGGTGGCGACACTAGGAGGGGTGCTGGGGGCGGCACTAGGAGGGGTGGTGGGGATGTCAGAGGGGTGGTGGGGGGCGGCACTAGGAGGGGTGGTGGGGCAGCAGAGGGGTGGTAGGGGCGGCACTAGGAGGGATGGTATGGGCGAGAGGTGGTGATGGCGGAGGGTGACAAATATTTGTCGGCCGCGATGGAGTACACCACCCTAACAGGTTATAACAGTTCGCGTGAGTGATCAGCCCCTGCTTCCAGCAGTCTTTAAATGACGCCCTATGTAGGTAGAGAGAGTCCATTTATCGGAGCTCGCTTGCTGAAATAAACAAGACCATTTGAATCCCAACTGTTAAAACAAAGGAATATGTAGGGAGAGGAAAGTCTTTCTACGGTACACTCATCGCATCCTAGCCGTACTAAAGATATTCATAAAAGTAAACGCACAATTAAATGATAAGATTTTCCCTCAACATTATTTTTTAAATGTTAGCTTTGATTGGGGTTAAAGTGTCGACTATGTAATTATTTGCTGTACATCAAGTTTTTTTTTTTTTTTTTTTTTTTTGAGTCTGACAATACATTAAAATCTTTCAATACGGAGAACAATCATAGTTCAATCGTTGTCCAAAATCAAATCAACTTCGAAAGCAAACATTGAAAACCTGTCACCTGACTTTCAAAACCTAACCACCACCCAAACCCTAACCACATGAAAAAGTACAACGCAAAAAAAAAAAAAAAACTGTCGTGTGGACGTTTGCACTGTGGCGCCGTCTGCCGTCTGCCACAGTATCGCCGTCGTTAGCGCCACTATTGATAACGAAAGAAAGTGAAAACTCAGCCAGGCTTCATATTTTGTCGTCTGCGCGAGTGGCCCACATGCCCGAGTTGCCGGGCCACGCTACATGGGCGGAGAATTTGTGGGCGACATTTTCTCGACGGTTGGGCTCGTCGGACCAGTAAGTCGCCAAGTGGCCGCGCATTGGCGGTGTCGCCGGTCACCGCTGGCGCCCAGAGTGGACGCCCCAGAACTGAGATTTACGGCCCCGCAGCTACCCCTTGCTGGAATCTCACGCACAGTTCTGACACGGGAACCATTCAGATAGCTTTCAAAAATATTAAATTTGATTTATCTTTTGGAAAATCTACGTTTCTTTAGATGATGTGAAGAAATTATATATATATATATATATATATATATATATATATATATATATATATATATATATATATATATATATATATATATATATAGCCAATAGAGCAGTTAATTGTGAAATCTGATGAACACAGTAATTAACCCATTTCCAATTAATTTTTATTATACTGCCAATTAACCCCCAGTTAATATGACTCATCATAATTAACATTCGACTATCATATAATCAAAACAACTTCACTCTCTTTGTTTTTCTGTTGATAGAAATTTTATTTCATGAGAACCGCCATCCCGGCCCCCATCTAGACTAGAAGTCTGTACAGCCCAGCAAGAAAGCCAGCGTCTCACATTCGCTTGTTTGCCCCTGTCTGCTCCCATTAAAACAGTTGCGCCCCTTAATTGTTTACGAGAGTATACCATTTATATCTAATCAGCCCGCTTTACCGGGCGTCCGCTTACTCGGCATCTTTCGTCTCGACATTCTGTTTTCCTTCCGTCTAGACACTAGGAGTCGCTTCCCTTGATTCCGTCTTAATACACTTAAATATTCCTTTTCGTAATCGTTTTTAACCTTCTTATTTCTCGTCGTTGTGTTTAGTTTTAAACGACTAACCCAGTAGTAATTGAATTGCAGTGTTTAATCTTCAAAGAGGTTTTCTGAAGATTATCCGTAAATCACGTTCTACTGAAACTAATAAAGGCGGTCTTACGCATGAGAAAGAGGGGGGGGGGGGGGCATTTCTGGTTGTCGCAAGGTAGACAGTGTCGCGACTGCTAGTCATTACCCTGGTAAAGGGTACTTTCACTGTTTAAACCCTCGCCTTGTCCACGGTAGGGGATTGGGGGGAGGGGGGTAGGCTTCTTGTCTCGCCCCACGCCTGCTGTAAGAGGTCTTGACTGCGGCCCCCAAGTGGCGACGACCATCGTGGCAGACGAGTGGCCCCGGCTCATTTTGTCTTCATATCATTTCAAGTGCCGTCGGCTCCTTCTCCACGACACGGAGTAGAGACGTCTTCATTTTGTCTGTACTTCTCTCCCTTGTTTCAAGGGATCGGCACACGTCGCTTTGTTTTTTGTTGGTTTTCTTTTATAATCTGTTCAATTAACTTAACTTTTTAATAAGCTGTTTAATTAACATCACTTTTTACTAAGATGTTTAATTAACACATCTTTTAAAAATCTGTTTACTTAATTGACATAACGTTTTAATAATCTGTTAAACAACTTTATATTTTTTTATAATCCGTTTAATTTATTTACTTTTAATGTTTAATTTCTTTACATCACCACACGAAATGGAGTTTTTAATTTAATTAAGTATTAAAAATTAATGACATCATCAGGACCCTTGATGAACTATGCGTATTCGAAAACTCGTTCATTGGTTGAAATTGGATTAGGCATACAGTAGGAGATATATTATAATTTGATATGTGTAGTGTATCGATTTCCTAGCTCATAGCTTAATCCTTGATATGCAGTTGGATAAGGCTGATGCAGACGTTAGTTTGGTGTAGCTAGAAGTTGTTGAAATGGTGGTACAGTGTGGGAGTAAGCTTTCTCTTGTTATCTGAGCACACACACACACACTCACACACATATTCACACACACACACATATTCACACACACTCACGCTCATATTTACACACACACACACACTCACGCGCGCACACACACACACGCACATTTTCATACACAGCAGTCACACACACACACACTCACGCAAACACACACACACATACTCTCTCTCACACACACACTCACGCACATTTTCACACACAATAGTCAAACATACACAGATCATGACCACAAGATACAACTTGGTTTAGTCCATCAACAAATGCAAGTGTTGATGTGACTGCTGCCTCTAGTGTTGATTCGCCAACGTTAGAATCGTGCTGCCGTTGAAGCTGGTGTACCGCCACTAATGCAGGACCCCCCCCCCCCCCTCCCAAAAAAAAATTCAACGGTTCCTCATCTCGAACCTTCTCCCTGTGTCCGTGTTGACGTAGAAATGACAGCGGTAGTTAAGATAGCTCCCATCCCCGCCACCAGTTCCGGTGCAGCGGGTCTCTGGCAACGGCCGAACAATTTCTGGGAAAAAACGGACCTAATTACATGTCAAGAAGGGATAAGATAACTCTGCTGAAATGTGAACTATTGATCCGGCGCGTGAAGGTCAGGGTCACGTTACATCTATGGACTCAAGAGTACCGTCCCCTTATCCCGGAAAAAAAATTACTGTAGTACTCTCAATATTTATGTCTACGTGTTTCTTCTCTCCCCAGGCGCATCTTCCCAGCGTACAAAGTCCGGCTGTCCGGACTGGACAAAAAGTCCAAGTACTTCCTGCTGCTGGACATCATGGCCGTGGACGACTGCCGGTACAAGTTCCACAACGGCAAGTGGACGGTGGCCGGCAAGGCTGACCCTGAAATGCCGCGTCGCTGCTACATCCACCCCGACTCCCCCTGCACGGGCGAGCAGTGGATGCAGAAGGTGGTCAGTTTCCACAAGCTCAAGCTGACCAACAACATCTCGGATAAAAACGGCTATGTGAGTATTCGCTTCATTTATTTTATATTAATTGGAGGCTGATTGAAAAGATATTAGGGAAATGCTAAGACGGGCCTTACATTTTTCATCACAATGTCAGTCATTTGAGTCAGTTGGACTTATTTAAATCCTCCAACATAAACTCAGTTAAGAACGCAGAAGTTATTTAAAGTGTACCAGGGGCCCTTGGTCAGAAAACAGTTAATGCTTCTAAAGGTCCTACTAATGAGTAGAAGTTGAGTCAATAAAAGGCCAACAGTTGCTCTAAGCTTTGGATCCATAACCAGCCATGCGGATATTACGGACTACTGATCCCCTACAAGTTTACCAGACCCCCATGATCCCCCTTGCAAGTTTACCAGACCCCCAACCAGACCCCCTAGGGGTCGTTTCAAATTTCTGGTAAAGAAAACAGCTCCGCTTACATAAAATTTCAAGAAACAGCTTGGTTTAGAGACTAAATGTGAAAATATTGCTCGATCAAAAATCACACAAAACAATATGTATGTACACATATGGACACACAACAATATGTATGTACTCATATGATTGGCATCGAGATTAGTGTACATAAAGCTGTTACACAGACCGTTAAACAACATGACATATTCATATAGGCCTAAACACATGTAGCATAATTATATTGGATGGGAACAAGAACGTAAATAGGTGGACTAAAATTAACACATTGGCAAAAATAAAAAATAAATAAATAAAAAATTGCATTAAAATCAGAATTTCAATGAATTAAATGATATATTTTAGATCAGTTACTATTGTTTTTGCTTTCTGCAAATTTTTAATATCTAAAATGAAAATTAAAAAAAATATTTAAAAAAAAACAACTAATTAAGCCTACATTTTAAAAGTATGAATATTAAAAAGTACGAGCCGGCCCGCGGCATAACATACGCCGCTATTTAGTTGTTTCTAATTTTCAATAATTCATAATTTGTGAATTCGACAGTACCAACGCTGACACTGAAAATATTTCTTTAAAACACTATAAGTAGCTCGTTAAGGACCATAACCCCCCCCCCCTTCCTCCCCCCCCCCTACGTTTAAAATCGTTGGCTCTGCTTATAAACATTTAGAGTGAACACAGCTCACTAAAACCATGTAGGGGTGGGGAGGTAGGGAGAGCGTTTGCAGCTTGTTTTCTAACGGCTCGAAGAGGAGAATTATATATATAGATAGATTGGTAAGAACATCTAGCCAGCCCACTCATTCTGAAATTGTAAAATGAAAACTTCTACCCCACGCTGCACGCATTAACACGGATTATGTCGGGATTAAAAGTTTTAAAATTAGGAACCAGCCAAGCGTGAACGCACGGTTGTTGCTAATGTAGTCATGTGACCGCGGTTAGTCGGTGGGTCATGCCAGCTCTGTACTCTCTAGGTCATTTTAAACTTGTTTTACTCTCTGGGTCGTGCAATTTCTGTACTCTCTAGATCAGTTAAAATTTTTAGTCTGTAGGGTCATGCCATTTCTGTACTCCAAAAACTTTTTAAACTAATTATCATACGAGTACCCTGGTTAAGGTTTCTGACGTACGTCATTGCTTTTGCTGATGTAGTACTTTAGTCGACACATCAGTGTTTGTTGATGCGTGATACGCACACATCACCTACTCACCATGGTGTTACATAATTTGGTGCTTCCTCTTTGATCTCGTAGAAAGACCGTGCGTGCTAGTCTCTCGCTGGTGCCAATTCTGGAGTCAAGTGCTCCACCGAGCGCAGTGTCGAGTGCCACACTGGTGATGTGGGGTAGTCAATAGTCTAACACACGGCCTAAAGTTTTAACGTCTTCCCTCAAATTAAATGATCTCCACTTCTCTAATAACCGCCCAATTCTATCACTCAGTGGGTGGCGATATTGAAATTAAAATAAAAATTGTTTGAGAATTTTAGATCAACTTTTCGCCAATTGGGTGAAAAAATGCGTCGAATTCTTTCTCCCCCGCCCGGCAGGCCTTTGATGTTAAGTTTACAACGTTCCCCAGAGCTTAGCCTAGCGCGACGCCCAACTCTGGGCCTGGAGACACACTGTTTTAGCACTGATTGTAATCGCTGTTGCCATCTCTTCCGTCGACAGGGTTCACGGAGTGTGTCCCGACACCCCGCGAACCCGGGTTCGTTGAGTGTGCTTTGACGCCCCTTGCGTCGGCCGTGCGACTCTCCAGTGTTTATTACCAGTTAATGTTTAATAACGAAGCGGGGGGCCCTCAGTGGCTTTTGTGCAACACTTATTGAAGTCTCCTAGCTTATTATTTTAATTCTAGACATTTATTTATCATTTCTTTGTGTCAATTTTATGTCTTAATAATCCCGAGATTTTCTGTCGGCTGGGAGTTGAGAAAAAATGAAAATTTCTGTTACCCGCCAGGCTGGTGGTCTATGAATAAAAATTTATCTATTTGCATGGGTTAGATAAAAATCATTAAACTGACTTCAAATAGTATCTTAACCTTTTTGCGCTTGGCTGTATAAAACATACAAATAAAATTTAATTTATTCGCTCCTAGTAACAAAAGAGCATGCAATATATTTTGTATAGACCACTACCCCCCCCCCCCTCCTACACAAAGAATTCGAACAATTCGATCGCCGAACTGTTGAGCACCCTTGCAGCAAATTATCTCCCCCTGACATTGGACTCGATGCCCCCCTAACAAGAGCGCATTTATCAAGTGCAAAACCAGCCACCCTTTTCAGCTGGCACCGTTTAAAGACAATTGTTGCATATTCGCAACGTCCTGACTAATCGGTTCCATCTCGACCATTGTCAGACCGAGCTCTGGCACCGGCGCGTTTGTTCGTCTGCTCCAGGTGAACGGATCTCTAAGGTGCTGACCTGTTTCTTTACACGGCCGCGCTGTATGGCACCCTCGCCCCGATCTTACGATGTTACTTACCTCTCATTAAAAATTAACACCTTTTGTCTTCACGACCTACTTGTGTTGGGAAAATTTCCGCACGTGCATTTGTTATCCGAGTCTATTTTTAGAAACATCCATGGCGCCTGCCACAGACTAGCGCGAACATTGGCGCCACTAGTAGCGAAGGGATACGGACCGTACTAACAGTCATTAAGCTTTTGGTCATTTATCCCGAGTCATTATCCCCCCGGGGTGTAATTATCCCAGGACACATCGCCACCCTCGCCCTCGGTGCCGCCGTGTGATCTCGCCGTGTGAGTAAACACGAGTACTCACGTTCTACACCTCAGGATTAGTATCACGTGGTCTATGACGCACTGACGCACCTCTCCTGACGACAAAGGACGCTATACTGTCACAATGAATTACGACTGACGAAAATAGTTTTAATGAAAAAAATAGCGTAATGTTTTAAAATTATTCATTACTGAAAATTAGATCTATTTACCTCAAAATCCACAACACTTTCACAATTATGTTTTTTTACGACAAATTATTTTTTTTACAACAATAATATATCAATTTCTAAAAAAAATACTGTTATCATGAAATGATCCATTTTGAACGAAAAATTATCGTATTTCTAAAAAGTGATCATCTCATAAGTTTTTTAAATCTGCAAACTTATTAGTTTTTAAAGAAAAAAAATATTTTAAAAATTATTACCTTTCATGTTCTCGTATACTTGGAGTTGCTGTTCCTAGCTTATAAAAGTTTGAATCCCAGTCGGTTTGTTTCTATCGAACCTGAATTCGATCACCTTCCTCCCAACACCTCGGTTCGATCAGTCCCTTCGATCATTGATCAGCCGTTCAAGCGAGACCCGGTCTATCGGGTGTTGCGCTGGTCGATCTAGGTCGGAGGGGTGGAGCTTCAGTCAGCTGTGACGCCTGGGCTCTTACACCTGACGACTTTGAATATTTCCCCACGTTACATTAAATTTTAGTGATACATACGTCATAAAACCTTGACTGCTATGATCCGTCAACGAGACGGTTCGCAAAGTTCAAATAATAGACGAAGCATAATTTGCGAATACATATTAAAAGGATCACCTACAGGATTTGATCTGTTATAAATTATAACAGCTAACATTTTCTTTAATTTGAATAAATTAAAAAAAAATGCATTTCCTTTACATTTTAATAAGATTTAAAGTCAATAAATCAATAAATAAAAAGTAACTAATAAATCTTTAGCGTGATACAAATACCGTGAAGTTTCACCCGCCGTAAAACAACACTAATTTAGTGTATGTTCACATGACATTATTATAGTGGATATTAACATGGTTTTTGGTTACTTGCAACTAGTTTGCTGATTATTTTATAAATATTCTTGCTGCATTCTCAACTCCGGTAGTTTTTCATACCATTTTAGTGCGGTCATGGAAAGGGTTAAATCAAATCATTTGAAGACCCCCCCCCCCCCCCTACCCATCCATAAAATCTTGCTGAGTAGCCATTTTGTCCATCAATTTATGGCACCGTCCGCCTGACCGATGGTTCTTTAAATATTGTAACGGTCTTTGTCGTCCACTAACAAGTAGTCCTAAATATGTCGCGCGTCTTGCACGTGAGTTCAACCAGTGCTCACGCCGAAAGCAGGATCAGACCCAGACGCCATATTTTACTCGTCATTTGGGGGTGCTGTAAAAATGTCCAGCGGAAATGAAGCGAAGATTTTCCGTGGGTGTCGTAAATCGCTTGTCAAATTTACCACAGAACCAGCTCTTCTTTGGCCAGCTGGTCTTTATGTATTTGGTCAATTTTTTAAATAATTTATCTGGCTTCCTGGTCTTTATGTATTTGGTCAATTTTTTAAATAATTTATCTGGCTTCCTGGTTCATTTAGGACGGTAAAAAAAAAAAGCCTGGTCTAATCTAGGACAGATAAGCCACGTATCCAAACTATATTTAAGACTTCATTTGAAAACAATAATCTACTTCTAATTTAACATTAAAATAATTTAAATTAATATTGATAAATTAAAACCGATTTTTAAATAGATAAAATTTAATTCTTTCGTTTAGTTTTAGACCTTTCCTCTTGAAAACAATCATTTTTCAGAACTTGATCTAGTTTTAGACTGCTAGTTTTCTAATCTCCAAAATGGGTTGTTGTAATGAATGTCTGTGATTAAATGGTTAATCGTTTGATCCGAGCTTGGCCCAAGTTCTAAGCGCAGTGGCCTAGGACAATATACCAGAGTTGTCGCTGTGTTTATCTATAGTCGGCCCTCTGATTACTGGCCTTTGTTCTATGTTGTTACCCAGTGGGTCTCATCGCTTGAGAAATGACCCCAGGGAAGTTGTTAAATTCTACAGATACATCACCCTGGAATTATACCTTATATTTAAAAAAAAATTATATCTAAAATGCCATGGTATTGTTGGGTAGTACGACTCTGGACAAGACTGAAGTACCATGTACCCTGTGGCAACAACAATTTGAGAACCGTTTGGTGGCTCGGGTGTAGCACCACAGCTGTCACTAGCAGAAACCCTTTGATTGGACACAGCCGTGTTGGCTTTCGTTGTCGTTGCCCTCAGGGGTGGTGGTGCCCGGGGGGGGGGGGTGTCTACAGACACGGTCGCCTGAACTCATTTCTCTGCATCATTTTTCATGCTCTTTGTCAGTTTATATTCACAACATTTTTGCATTATTTCTTGACAATACATTTATTTAATTAGTCATAAATTTTAATAATCATAACCACCTAAACTGTATGAGAGATCGAACTTCTCTCAATAATAACTCATTATTGGATATTATATAATTTTTTTTTTTAAATTCAGTAAACAAAATCTAATAATCTCCCTAAACATTTTTTTGTTTAAAAAAAGAGTAAAAGCAGTTTCAGAAATCGATTTTTAAGTTAAAATATGAAAAGTATAATTACTATTTGAAAAATTATTATTCATTCTTGTTTTGTTTTGGGCCCTGTTTAGCATGGCCCTGCTTTGGCAACGATAATTTATATCGACATATTACATCCATACAGTTTATTCAACAAAACAAAATATTTTTAAAAAAAACAGTCATCAGATTGATTTTTGGACTAAAATACAAGCCATAAATAGTCTGAACTGTTTACTGAAAATAAACAATTACATATCTTAATTAGTTGGATCTAGTTTTGCTTGTCATATTTACCTCATTTGATTGCAATGATGACGTGTATGTTTCTGTCCCCAGCAAATCCTGAACTCTATGCACAAGTACCAGCCCCGCTTCCACATAATTAGAACCTCTGACTACATGAGGCTTGGCATCTCCCCCAGAACCACTGTGGTCTTCGAGGAGTCTCAATTCATCGCTGTCACGGCCTATCAGAACGAACAGGTACCTACCTCACTCTTTAGCTAATTACACAACTTACCTAGATTCTTACACAATATTTTATTTTATTTTACCTGACTACTTACACAATTTATATTCTATTTACACAATTTTTATCTTACTTGGCTACTTATACACAATTTTTTTAACTTGTTACTTACAATTTTTTTTTATCTTATATCACTAATTACACAACACTTTCTATCGTATGTTGCTACTTATCAACAATTCTTATCTTACCTGACTACTACACAACAATTTTTATATTACCTGACTATTTACACATTTTTATTTTACTTGTATATTTACACACATATTTTTATTTTACTGGCTACATACACTATCATTTTAACCATAGCCATGTTTTCACTAAGAAATATTTCAAATATTTTCTTGTTCTACACCATAAACTGTATCTTACGTTTCATCATCAGATCAAATAATGTTTTCATATTCTACACCAAAAACTGTATCTTACCTTTCACCCCCAGATAACCAAACTAAAGATTGACAACAACCCCTTCGCTAAAGGCTTCCGGGAAAATGGCGGTGGCAGAAACAACAAGATGTGAGTTTCCTCCCTTGTTTTCCCACAATTTGTTGTATCATTTTAATTTTGTTGTATCATTTTATTAACCTACATCAAACATTCACCAGTTTAACCAAAAATACCCAGCAAAAATATACATCAATTTCTCACTCTATATGTAGGCCTATTTTTTTTTATAATTTAGAAGTTTTATTCTTCTTTGCCTGTTGCTATTCCTAGTGGAGCATAGTACATTTATATTTTCCCTCCACGCTTTTCTGTCCTTTGATATTTTTTTTCCAATGTCTTTGGCTATTTCCATCTTTTTCTTTACTCTTGTGAATTCCATGATAGATCTATATCTTTTCTGGTAACACAAGTTGCCTGATCTCCATTTTTTTCCGAATTTCATGCTCCACTGGAAATCGTATTGTCCTTTTACATTTTTAACAACACCAAAAAAAAAAAGCACAATTTATTTTTCGTGGTTTATATTTGTTTAAATAAAAAAAAAACAACAAAAATAAATAAATACAAAAGCAACAACCAATCATTGATCCCTCACTAAACACGAGCGTTTCCTCCTAAAGGAAAAAGCAGTCCGTCCATTTGGACACCTCGTCTCACTCCCATGACGGACATTTATCCTCCTACAGTGATAATGAGGACGACGAGGACAATGTCGAGATCTGTGTGGACGACGACGACCAACACTCGGCCGTCTGCTGCAGCAGCGACATGGAGGAGGAGGCGGGAAAACTCAGGGAGGAGCTCTCGTCTGGTGAGTGACTGGGCGGATTTGGAGGCGTGGTTATGTTTGAGGGCGTTTTTATGTTTGGGGCATGGTTATGTTGGGGGCGTGGCTACGTTGGAGGCGTGGTTACGTTGGGGGCGTGGTTATGTTGGGTCTTGGTTGAAGTATATATTATGACCATCCAGTTGAGGGGGAGGTTACACTCCTGAAAAGCTTCCTCAACAAAACTCTGCTAGGATGTATAAGAGGGTTTTGGGTTGGTGGTTGGGGTATAGATGTCATCTCAGCTTGTCTATGTAGTTTGAGTTTAATTCTTTGAGTGGGATTTGGTATTGTGGTTGTGATTAGTTTATGTGTTGGGGATTGATAATGTGATTAGGGATTGTGTCCAAATAGGCTGACATATATTGTTTGGGCTTAATCCTGTCTGTAGATGGGCTTTGTTGATCGTGTGTATTTTTCTGGAAAGATGGAGTGTGTGTGTGGTAGGAGTTTAATTCAAATAGTTCGGCAGGACAATTAAAAAAAAACAAAAACAGATGAAATGTTTGAATATGAAGCCAGTCGAAAGAGGAATTAAATTCAAATTTGACTGCATTCAATCTTGCAATCATGTCATCACAGGAATATATTTGGTGTCACCCCCATGTCATGTCACAGCGACCCACTAGGTACAACTTTAGCACCTGTTGTTTTAAAATATGCGACATGAATAATTCAGGGCAAGGATCAGTCAACATGACAAACATTCAGTGCGAGTGGGGTGTGTGCTTATACTTATATCGTGCTGAAATATTAATGAGTGGGTTTTAAATCTTATCTTCCCTTGTCTTTGAATCTTTAACACCAGGTGTACCCAATGCTCACGGGACTTCCTAAAGTAAATAAAAGTAGATGTTCAAAATGTTAGTTTGATATACATTTTATCTTTATATCTAATTTATAATAAATTCTGTTGTTTTTTTCCAGACGAGCAAAGTTTTGAACCAAAGGGAAGCAACCCCCATGAACCATCAGAAAAATCCGCGAAATCCACTTCAGAAAAATCTAGCCATGACGTCAATACTAGCAGTGATACCCTCCCAGTCGAGGCGACAAACATTTGTGATACAAAACTAGACACTTTCAGGAAACGTGATAGACATTCAGAGTCCAAACACGACGATAGTTCAGCCTCGTCCACGCATGCGCATCCAACAACAAAACCTGTTCTGAAACACAGCGCTGAAAGTCTAATAGCCAAGACGGTTCCGCCTCAGCGGGCAGCACCAGACACGGTTGGTGATTCTGGGAGGTCGCAAGAGAAATACGAACTGAACGTTGCAAACAGTATTAGCAAAGTGAAGCCTGGAGAGGCCGGCAATATCTTGCACAGAGGGGAGGGGTCCACGGCGGTGTATGCTGGAGACAACATGGAAACAGATTCTTCCAGATCAGACAGTCGGCGTTCAGTCGACGGCCACAGTCCGATTAACTGCTCGGGTCGAACATCACATAACAATGCACGCGCAAGCATGTACTCAACAGATGGGTACAGCGCAGACTCGGAGACCGAGTCCAGGACCCACGGGGGTCACAGCCACGCCCATCGGGTCCGTCAAGAGGAGCAGCTGAAGCAGGTCCACTATCAGCAGCTGTTGAGGCTGGAGTCGGAGAAGAGAGACATGTTCGAGAAGGAGAACCGTTTCCTCCAGGAACAGAAGCTGCTCTGTAAGGACTCTCGAAGTCCTCCCAATGTCACCGTCTGCCAGAGGTCCTCCCTCGCGCACTCCCTCTTTCCAATGTGTCACCCCAACCTCTTCGGGACGAACGCCTCGGCTTTCCACCACCCCATGGCGTCGTTATACATCAACACCGTCGCATCGCATCCACACCTCCTCAGCCACATAACGTCGTCAGCGCTATCGTCGTTATCTTCAGGAGCAAGCACACCCCCCTCGTCATCTCCCCCACATCGCTCCCCAACCCAAGTCAACTCCCCAACATCCTCCTCTTACATTTTCCCATCCGCCCATCACCATCAGGGTATACCATCCCCCCATCAAGCTGCGGTGGCGCGGGCGCTGGCAGCATCCGCCCTCCCCCTGACCCACCCCCTGGCTTTCTTCCCCCGCAACATCTCGTCCCTGGGCCCCGTGTTCCAGGCCCGCTCCCCACCCAGCCGGTACCACCCTTACGCCCCTAACCCAGTCAGCCCTGGGGTGCCATCCTCCCCTGAAGGGGGTGTCTCAGGCTCGAGCACCCCCAGCCCCTCCAGCTCCCCGCTCATGAAGGTCCCCTCCAGCGGTATCATCAAGCCCGTGCCCATACCCCGAGAGATAGGTCTAAACCTGACCACGACAGACAATAGAGTTGTCCCTGTGTAGTCTATTGTCTGCTCACACAGACAAGGCAATCTAAAATCTCTAACTGTACCTCAAGTGAGACAAATACTGCAAAATAGTCATTTGCAAGACATTCAATAAAAGACATTTCCAGAGTTATTGCATCGTAAGACACTGCTATCACTAGCAGAGAAGACACTGGGAGACATTGTTGGCTCTACATTGCAATAGACATATCTACTAGATCCAGCACTAGTAGAAAAAGACTGTTACAAATATTGCAATGCAGATAAAGGAAGACATTGCTAGCTGATGCTAGCTGTATCGGTAAAGACATTGCTAGACAAAGCTAGCACTACTGGAGCGAACTGTGCAAGATATATTGCACCTCAATTTGATACAACCTACTGAAATAAATTATTAAAATTCAAGCTCAGCAGCCAATCATTCATGTTGTTTTAGAATATCCCATTGTCAACACAAGCAGTGTACTCGATTTTCATTGGCTGGATTTCAAATCATAGTTTTTAAATCATCAAACTTGTTTGCTTGTAGTTTATTTTTTCATCTCTAAACAATCCATAGAACTGTTTGATTGAGATGTTGACTGACAAGATTTATATGAAGGAATCAATGATTGACAGGTGCTTTGTGCCACAGGTGTGCTATAGCCAGGTGTACCACAGCCACAGGTGCCACGGATGTGGTGGTAGCCACATGTGGTGGTGCCACACTAGTTCCCAGGTCGGCCAGTCCTGAGACGGTAGCCATAGAAGATTCTAGAAACCTTTGATGTTTTGCCATTCGATGTAAATATGTTTTAAAATAAATGTAGACTTACAGCTCTAAAGATGCGTGTACAAATTGATTTATTTATTTCTCTCCATCTCCATTGTATTTGAAATCAAAGTTATCTTGTGTGTAAAATAAACAGAGAAAAACAAAAAGTTTTTGTGTTTGAGCCATTGATTGGTCGGTTAGCAAGGAGTGAATCAGAAAAAGTGCAGAATAGTAAGAAATGTGAGTACGATTTTCTTATATGAATGGAAATAGTTCAGGTAAGTAAACGAGGGGGCAGGAGAATGGAATGAGATATATGGGGATATCAGAAATGGGATAAGATTTATTGATTTATAAAAATTCCAGATTTTGTATTTTAGCACGATTGAATGTTTGGGTGTTTCTAATAAAAGTTAAAGGTGAAATATATTCAAACCTGAACTTATTGCCGTAAAACATTTTTTAAAAAGTTTGCAGCACACATTGTGTGTGTGTGGGGGGTGATGGGGGACAGTTTCAACCCCACACTCCCATTAACAACAACATCAACGATGAGCCACAGTTGCATACCACACTGGAAAGCACAAGCAAAATAAAAAATTTAAAAGTGAATGCTTATAAATCCATCTCTTCCCTACTTTATAGTATACGAGCCGACCCGCGGTGTATCATATGCCGCTATTTAGTTGTTTTTTCTACTTTTCAGTAATTCATAATTTGTGAATTCGACAGTACCAATGCTGCCACTGAAAATATTTGCTTTAAAACACTACCCCCCCCCCCCGTGAAAGCAGCCTCCTCTTAGCTACCTCCTCTAAGTTTAAAATCGTTTCAAACTAAATTATCTGCCCCTAATAGCCGTCACCAACCCCGGCTTACATTTAGCGCGAACCACAGCTCACCAGACCATGTGAGGGGTGGGAAGGAGGGGTGGTAGCGATAGATAGGAAGAGAGGGGACTGCAGGGCGCGTTTGCAGCTTGTTTTCTAACGTCTCCCAGAAGAGAATTATATATATAGATGGTCAAGAATACCCCCCCCCCCTCCCACACAAACGTAACGCTATTTGGGAATATAATGCAATTAATGCACTAACGTTCTTAGCCACAGTTCCAAAACTTTAAGATTTGATTTTCTCTCAATAAAAATTGATTTTTCTAACGAAAAACGTATTTTAAGGATTAGTAATTGGGGGGGGGGGGGGGCGTTATCAAGCAAAGAGAAATATTTATCTTTGTTTGTTAATTTGTTATTTGATGGTTTTCTGTTTGTTGGTTGACTGTCGATATCGTGTTTGTTGTTTTAGTGTTTGTAGTCTTTTTATTCTACTTGTGGACGTTATTTGTTAGATGAGTTGAGTCATCGAATCATATGAAAATAATTCTTCACATAGTTTCACGAATTGAATGTTAATATTTTAAAACAAGGGGATGGTGTGGTCGAATGGTAGAGCGTCGTGATGGTAGGTTTACCTGAGTTCACCCAGCTAAAATGGGTACCTGACGTGAGGGTAGGACGTCCCTGAGTCCACCCAGCTATGATGGGTACCTGACTCACATCAGGGAAACACAGACGGCTGGGCATAGACCCGACCACATTAACCTTTATACGACGCGGTCAGTGAAACAGATGAACTCTACTTCATAGGCCCCATGCATAGTGAGAACGAAAGGGGAAAGATTATAGTTTTAAAACAAATGTAGTCAGTACTGGTAGTCTGCTAGTATTTGTGTTTAAATCTGGAACGTATAGCATACATAGAAGATAACATGCACACAGCACAATGTCGGTGTCTTTCCTAGCGTCATAACAAACTGACGGACCGACAGATTCTAAAATAATGGTTAATTTTTAAACTGCCACCAACTGTAAAAGACTAAAACTGGCAAATTAATTTTTTTTTATATTTTTGGGTGTAAATTTTGCCAAGCTTTCGACGATTTTTTGTGTGTTTTTGTTTCAGGATTTTTTGTTGTGTGAATCTGTAGATTCTAATTTTGAAAATGTAATTACGGATAGACATACATAAACACACACACACACATAAATATATATATATATATATATATATATATATATATATATATATATATATATATATATATATATATATATATATATATATATATATATATATATATATATATGTATATATATCTGTGTGTGTATTCTAAATCTAATTGAAATTTCTAACATTTTCTTTCTTCGCATACAATTATTACAATGACATGCTGATAAAAAAGTAAGGAACTTGAATCGCTTCATTTTGTATTTTGTTTATCAAAGGCAAGGGAGGTAACATTTCAGATAGTTTATTTAATTTAAAATCAATACATAAAATATGTAAATAAAAAGATCTATATATTTTTCTAAAATTATTGTTTTATGTACTAATCAAACTAAACATTTGTTTGTTTAAAAGGTAAATAAATTCTCTGTTTTTAAAAACGTTTACTTGACATAGTATATTTAAAATTTAAAAAACCCTAGCCGTGTATGTAAATGTTAAATTTAATTCAAAATACTTTCGTACAAATGTGTTCAATGCTGTTGTTAAGTATGACATCAATATCTTTCTCAAAAATAATTTTTAAATACCCGGCGAGCTTCTTTGTGTAATCTTTAAATTAATTTAGAAACAATATGCAAAAAAAATAAGAAATTTAAAAAAAATAAAAATAAATTCGCTCCGAGCAAAATTAAAAAAAAAAAGTAGTCTACTTATAAGAAGGAAGTATTACTATTGTACATCTGTATACCTCACAAGCCGATAATGAAAACTGCAATACTAAACTGCAAGGTAAACTAACGCTGTAAATTACATGTCTGACTTGACTTAGTCCTATTTGCTCTTCATAGAACATAGAGCCTCCAAGGCAAAAAAAAAAGGTTTTAAAATTGTGAAGTCACTCTCCACCACTACCCACAACTGATGTGACACTAACCTGAACCCCAGCTGGGGATGGAAGCTTACATTATAACAAAGGCAAGAAGATAGAGTGCCAGTGTGTACATTAGATCTAAACTCGTTAGACACTTGGACCTGAATGATGGCGGATTACATGAATCTTCCGGACAGATAGTTTTTATTTCCTGTCTTTATTTTTGTCTCGATAAAAGATAATAGTTGGCATAAAAAGATAAAATTAAAATTAGCTTCAATTTAACACGTGAATATAGGCCTACTTTATTTAATTTTTAATTAGTGTACTAGAAATATACAAAATGTGATAGATAATATACACTATGAGCTGGATATCTAGATAATATAAGGCAAATAAATGGGCAATTTATAATACATAATTAGACAATATGACGTTTCCAGATTTACTAATTAGCTTTATCATCAGTTTGGGCGATTCAGAAACGAGCTAGTCACTAGAATAGTCCAACGATTCAGGAATTGGCTAGGCAAGTCACTAAATGTTTGAACGATTTAGACATGGACTAAGCAAGTCACCAGAAGGGTGAACGATTCAGGAATGGGCTAGGCAAGACACTAGAGTAGTTGAACGATTCAGGAATGGGCTAGACAAGTCACTAGAGTAGTTGAACGATTCAGGAATGAGCTAGACAAGTCACTAGACTAGTTGAACGATTCAAGAATGGGCTGATCTAGTGAGTGGAGTGGTAGGTAACGGACGAAGTAGGTCAGGCCTGACTAATCCACTACCTTGTTCAAGCCGAAGATGTAGACAAAGGTCAACGGGTGCAAAGCCATTAGGGGTCACCGCGGTGTACGTCCCGTCGCTGAATGGTGACCACTGGTAATTGGCCGTCGTCTGGTCGCCACACTGTCTGGGGCCGGCTGCCCAGGGGCGATAACTGGATAATCAAGGGGGGATAATTTGTTGGGTGAGCTGCCTTAGGTAGGTGATTTATCCCCACCCTAGGCGCGGTACGGTTGATATGGTGTGCTTGGCTTAGGATGCTTTTGTGACCTTTGTTTCAGAGGATATTTTTACAATACATTTTTAAATGTAAAAAAAAAAAAAAACTTCATAATAACAAGCCATTTAACGTATTAAAAATAAGAAATTATTGTAAATATATACTGAAAAGATTTCTAGAACAACACACTTGTAGCATAAAGCTTCAGGAAAAAATATTTTTTCCTACTTTTGTGCATTTAAAATTTCTTATTATAAAGTTATTTATCTTCGTAATTTTAGAATATTTTACATATTTTGTAAAAATGTCAGTCGATGCTTAATTTATGAAAACAAGCAGTGCATTATTAATTCCTTCATAGTATATATTTTTTGAGTCCTATATGGCGTATTAAGTGGATACACTATGATAAAATTAAACACCACTCATATTTATAAACCCCCAAAATTTTACAATTCTTACCAAGTAAATCATTTTAGACTTTTCTGTGATTATTTTTCCTAAACAATTTTTTTCCTTTGTGACTTTTTTTCTGTGACTTTTTTTTTTTGCAAACAAAAACTGTGACATCTTTCCTGTGACTTTTCCCCACTCACCTCAATAGAAATCTATAATGTCGCCTATATTCCTATAATAATCTCAACGCAATCCCTGTACTCTAGAGTTGTGAACAACTTAAGACGCGAACAACAACTCGCCTGGCTGATCCAGTGCAGTGTTTCTTCCAGACTTTTTTCTCCGGAGGGGGTACTTGAAATTTTCGGGGGGGGGGGGGGGGGGGAGGGGGGGAGGGGGGGGGGGTGGGCGGTAGACTTTCTTCGGGGGGGGGGACACTGTTAAAAGTATATATTTTCTATATAAATTATATAAATTTCACTTCGTTTGGGGGGGGGGGGGGGGGCGGTAAAAAAATTTCGGGGGGCTTCGCCTCCCCGAAGAGATGCCTGGAAGAAACTCTGATCCAGTGATCACTAGTTACTTCCCCTTTTTATTTTGTGCTTTAGCAATCATTCAACACATTTTCGATGACTAATTTAGTATCATTTTATTTAGAAAACTAGACATTTTTTGTTGTCTTCTGTGATGCAGTTATCTAGAAAGTTTGAAACAAATGGCATTTAAGAAAAATGGCCAGAATTGAATCTAAATAATTATTTATTTCTTTTTTTTTTAATTTAAAAAAAATATAATAAAAACACCGTTTCTAGAACTAGTTCTGTGAAAAATTACAATGTAAATATTAGGCATACGTATTTTTTT